TGACCCGGCTCGCCGTCAAGATGGGCGCACGCCCCGACACCGTCTCCGGTCAGTCTCTCCCACAAATCCAACAACACGCGCCCACAGTCTTCTAACCACACGACACACACACACACCACACACACACGACACACACAACAGGGCTGTCGGGTATCGGCGATCTGATGCTGACGTGCTTCGGCAGCCTGTCGCGCAACCGCACGGTGGGCAAGCGCCTGGGCTCGGGCGAGTCGCTCGAGAGCATCCTCGCGACCATGGAGGAGGTGGCCGAGGGCGTGGCCACGACGCCGGCCGCGTGCAAGCTGGCCGAACAGTACGGGCTCGACCTGCCCATCATCAAGGCCGTGGCGGCCATCCTGCGCGGCGACCTCCAGGCCCGCGAGGCCGTGCTCCACCTCATGACCCTCCCTCTCTCCGACGAGAAGACCTGGTAGTGGCTATTATTTATTGATTCATTAATTTATTAATTTATTAATAATAACGGCAAATATATATAAATATTCATCAATTGATTTATTTGTTGCGTAAAAGAGCAAAAAAAACAAAGATGTCGAACAAGGCGGATTCGAGGAGAGCGGCAGCGGTGTCAGAGGCGCTGCCCACGTTTGGCGTGGGTGCCGTGGTGGCACTCATGGGCATCCGTGGATTCACTGCCACCAAATCCATTCCCAGGTTTGGTTCTCTATGCATCGATTCAATTCCACTTGCATCTCTTTCATCTTTTGAGCTCTCATTCGCTCATCTATATCGTGCCCCACGTCTGCCCACCATCCAGCTTACTGGCAGGTCTGGGCTTCGGCACCCTGTTCGGGGTGGGCGGTTACCTCATCCAGGACCCGGCCACCAGCGCCTCTGGCCGCACCATCGCCCTCGGTACCGCCCACACGCATACGCCCGCTTCCGTGGCTTTTCCTAACATGCATGACACACGCACGCACGCACACACACACACACACACACACACCACGCGCGCGCACGACCGCACACACGCACAGCCACGTCGCTGACGCTGGCGGGCGTGATGGGGAGCCGATTCGCGCGGACGCGCAAGCTGTACCCGGCGGGCGTGCTGGCGGCGGTGGGCGCCGGGTCTTCGGCGTGGCACGGCTACTCGGTGTTCGTGCGGGTCGAGCACCAAGTCGCCGACGCCCTGCACTCCGCCAAGGAGACCGGCAAGCACGAAGTCGAGAAGATCGAACGCAAGCTCAGCGGCAAGGACTGACGATTTCCCCACAGTTGAGAAATGCAACACGAGTGCTCTGTTGAACATTGCGGTCACGCTTTCGCTGGCGTTCAGCGAAGCCGGACCTCGAAATAATGCTCTCACTTTCCCGCTCCGGACCACGAGACAAAAGGTGGGCACCACTTTTCTGAGCGTACAGAGACTACGCAGACAACACTACTGAACTCGTATCACCTCCAAAATGAGTTCCGAGGCGGCTTCTGACTTTGGGGATATGGTGACGAACTTCAGGCGGGGCATGATCCCCATTGTGGGTACTGCCTGCCTGGGCATCCTCCTCATCGTTGCCCTTCTCCTTCACTGGAAGGGCCAAGTACGCCCCCCCCACCTAACGTCTTCGTTCTTTTATTTAGTTCGGACCTAATTTTACAACATGAGGCTCACCCTTGCGACTCATGCAACGTTGCTTACCGCTTGCACGCGCACAGCGCCTGGCCTTCCTCGTGCGGTGGTCTCTCATCCTGTGCGCCTTCTTCCAAACGGTACAACGCAGGATTATTTATGTCTTTTTAAGATTAATAATACAGAAAAATGATAACACTTACTATCGTTGAGTTTCTTCTCTGACATGGTGGCGGCTCTAGGTGACGAGCGTGGCCTATTTCATCACCCCGGCCTGGGAGTGGGGCGTCCAGCTGGGTGTCACCGGCGTGTTCGGTGTCTACGCCGGCCTTTCCCGCCACCCGGACTTCCTCATCGTCGTACGCATTCCTCCACACCGCCACACTCACTCGAGTTTGGCGCACTAAACGACATTGGTGCGGCGGAGCGCAGAACTCGTTCGTCGGCCTGTTCAACCTGCTCGGCCTGCTCGGCCGCCTCGCCTGGTTCACCTACACCGTACCGCTCTACTCCATCTTCGAGGACCAGGCCTACACGCCCTGCATCCAGTACGTACCGGTCTAACAGTCACACAGGCTGTGATGCCTAACGCGCGGGTGTGTGTGTTTGTGTGTGGAACCGCGCAGGTGGTTTGACCTCGACCAGTGGACCGACAGCCCGCTGTGCTTCCAGTACACCACGGCCGTCCGCTTCCTCTCCTACCTCGTGATCTTCATCGCCGTACGTCACGCTGGCGCACCACCCGGTGAACCACTTACTCGCGCCAGGGCACATGACTGACCTCCCTTTACGGGGCTACAGGCCAAGCAAACGCTGGTGTCCTACTTCCTGGCCAAGGTACCGCCGGCCGAGGGTATGTCACCCCCCCCACCTGCCCAAACCTCAACCATTGATCGTTGACTCTTTTGTTGTGTTGCCCTCCTGTACCTCAGAAACGTATGAGCACGTCGGCGTTGTGAACGATAAGGAGCCGTATGTCCGCTACTGATTGATGCTGAAGCCTGGCGTGTGGGTGAGGGAACCGCGTGGATATGTCTGCAGCTTTGATCAAGTAAATGAATGTACCACACTTTTTTCTGCGCCAAAGCCTGCCTTTTTCATGCACACCACTCAGCAGCGTGGCTGAAGGGTATAAAACTTGCAGTGTGGCTGGGAAGAAGACATCTTCTCGGCCCAAGTGGCTAAGATCATGTGAAGTATCTGTTCTTATCAGCTTAATCTCTGGTAGTGAGGCCTCCTGTGCCTCACCTCAAGGTTAGACTTATTTTTCTTGTTGGGCTCCTGGCACCATGCCTTCCAGCTATGCTGTGGGCAGTCCAGAGAGCAGTGATCAGCTTTGTACTGCACCACCCTGCAAAGTTCTTCAAATGGTCCACCCCTCCTGCAAAGCAAAGACAAAACCAACGAGAAATGTGATTTCCTTCACATTTTTTTAGTGCGGGTCACGTGTTCCTTTCACTTCACTCCAGGCGACACAGACCACCGGTATACATCAAAAATGGCACACCTGGCAAGGTACCCGTTGATATATTGCCTAACATTTTGAACGTGTGGTTTTTTTAGTGCTGAAGCAGTTATTATATATATTTTTGAATAATTATTTCTATTTTTTATTGTTAGCAGTGCAGCGGAGGAGGTGGGCCAGCTCTTGACGCGGCACCACGGCGGTCTGGACTGGCCGGCGCTTCTCGGCTCCCTGCGCCAGCTCGCGTTCGACGTCAACCAGAGCGGAACCACGACCACGACCGCGGGAGCCGTCGCCGCAGAGAAGGTGCGCCCGCTGGCCGACCTGTTCGTCGAGGTGTTCGCCCTGTCGTCCAAGATATCACTCGTGCTCGACGATGCGGGGGTGACCGACCGCGTCGCCGCCATCTTCGCGCGGCATGCCGACCCGGCCTCGCTGGCCATCGCGGCGGCGGGCGGTGAGAAGAACATGGACGGCCTGGTGCAGGACTTTGCCGAAGTGGTGGAGCTGGCCTCGGTCACGACCCTGCCCACGCTCTACGCCACGGTGCGGCGGTGCGTGCAGGTCACCAACGACTTCTTCGCCGGCCTGCGCAGCCTCCAGGGCGAGTCCGCCAGAGGTCAGGAGCTCCTGGCCCGCGCGCTGCAGTACCTGGCCAGCAAGTCCGACCAGAGCCAGGTGTGTTCAGTTTTACTCACGCCCGCAGCAATTGGTGCTGACGTGTGCGTGCGATGGGGTGTGTGTGTGCCGTGTGTGTGTGTCGTGTGCCGTGGTGGTGTAGGGCTATCAAATACTGGGCGAGGATAAGCCTTACTTGAGCGGCCGCTTCTTCAACTCGGAGGAGAAAGGTTCGGAGTCGTCGCCTGGACGAGCGCTCGTGCTGAAGCTCACCTTTCTCTCTCTTTCTCTCCCAGGCGTGTACTTGTACAACGGTTCCTTTGGTCTGCTGCAGGTGGGCATCCCGCCCGAAACCATCAAGACCTACATGAGCAAGGTACCTAACTTCGTCGTTGCATGTGCGTGTGCGTGTGCGTGTGCGTGTGCGGTGGTGCGTGTGTGCTGGAGTAGTTACACGTAAAGAGTGCTCATCATTGTCCACGCGCGGTTCCCGTGGTGCAGGGCCAGCCCGTGCCGCACATCTACGTGCTGCCTCCCCGCTTGTTCATGGGCGCCGTCAATTTTGGCGAAGTCGAGTTCCCCATCTACTTCAACTTCTTCATCAAGAAGGCCTTCCAGAACCCTGACCTTCGAGGTGCGTTCCGCAGTATATGCGTGTGCTCTGGTGCGTGTGCGGTGGTGATGCGTGCGTGTGCGGTGGTGCGTGCAATGATGTGTGAGTGTGGTTACCCTGGTGTGCACACAACATCGCCCATGATAAATTCTGATGAACTGGCGGCGTGATGCTCTCTGGCAGTGATCATGATCGGTACCAAGGATCAGTTGGAAAAGGTCAGAGTGTCCTTCCAGGAGTCGGTGTTTGGCCCCGAGGAACACCACCTTTACATCGTACGCCCTGCGCTCCAGTCTTATTCACTTTATCGTACTTATTCACTATCGTACTTATTACGTTTATATGAATTATGTATTATTATGTATTATTTATTTTCAATGATAACATTTTGTCTTCAGGACGAC